CTAGTGGCCTAAATCAAGCTTGAAGCTGAGGATTGCTAAAATCAAAAGATACCGGTTTTGTTTCGACGTTTTTCCAAGCTGGCTAAAGAGGTTTTGATTGTGACAAAAGTTGTCTCATGATCACAAATTCTCTTCAATGGTGTATGTAAACATGGAGAAGAAATGGGTACTTTCATTTGTGATCACATCTCTCGTATGCGTTTTTATCCTTGCAACTTCCTTCAATATGGGTCTAATGTCTTCGCTTCGACCACCAATCAAGGAAACTATCTCTCATTTCGATACAAATGATTCCAAAGTTGTACCAGAAAAACCTCGTGAAGATGATAAGCTTCCACGTTTCGCTTACCTTGTTTCGGGATCTAAAGGAGATCTTGAAAGCCTTTGGAGAACTCTTAGAGTATTGTACCATCCAAGAAACCAATACATTGTTCATATGGATCTTGAATCACCGGTTGATGAGAGACTAGAGCTTGCTTCTCGCATTAGTAACGATTCTATGTATTCTAAAATAGGTAATGTTTATATGATAACTAAAGCTAATCTTGTGACTTATACCCGACCAACAATGGTAGCCAATACGCTTCACGCTTGCGCGATTCTTCTTAAAAGAAGCTCGGATTGGGACTGGTTTATCAATCTTAGTGCTTCGGATTATCCCCTTGTGACTCAAGATGGTATCTTTTCCTTTTTCTGTTCTTGATCTTTCTCTTGTATACGGTGATTCAAGATGGTAAAATGCCTGACCAAACAAATGTTCTATGTTTTCAAGATCTCTTGTATACGTTTTCAAGTTTGGACCGCAACCTCAACTTTATCGCGCACACGAGTAACTTAGGCTGGAAATTGTGAGCTTCTTGATCTCTCAGCTTCTGAATTCTTTTTAGTTTGTCATTAGCTGAAAATCTTATGTTTCTTCTTGGTGTGTCACAATGAAATAGCGCGAAGCGAGCAATGCCATTAATGATTGATCCTGGACTCTACTCGCTAAACAAATCAGACATTTTTTGGGTCAGGCCTAGACGAAGTTTACCAACTGCGTTTAAGTTGTTTACCGGTTAGTGTTCTCAAAACATATATTTACTCTGTTCTTGTTGCAACAAAATTGAAACTTTTTTCTCGGGTTTTTTCGCAGGATCAGCTTGGATGGTTCTATCGCGCTCATTCGTCGAGTATATCATTTGGGGTTGGGACAATTTACCAAGAACATTACTAATGTATTACACCAATTTTGTTTCTTCTCCTGAATTTTACTTCCACACAGTCATGTGTAACGTGCCCGAGTTCTCCAAAACTACGGTGAACCATGATCTTCATTACATCGCGTGGGACAAACCGCCGAGGCAGCATCCTCGCCTGTTGTCCTTAAGAGACATGGGACCGATGATTGCGAGTGGATCAGCATTTGGTCGGAAATTCAAAAGTAATGATACAATATTGGATAAGATCGATAAAGAACTGCTTATGCGGACAAGCGAAGGCGGTTTCACTCCCAGCGGTTGGTGCGGCGGGAAACGGGACTGCTCGGTTGTCGAAGACGTGGCTAGGATCAGACCTAGCTCAGGAGCTGAGAGGCTCAAAGGGCTTGTAGATAGGTTAGTTGCAGAAGCTAAATCAGGAAAGAATCAATGTGAATCAGAATATCATCAAACTTCTTTTAGATATTGAAAATCAACATTGGAGAGAATCTTGCAGTTGCAATTTGATTGTAATATTTTGAAGAGGCTAAAGATTACTTGTACGTCAAGTTACTGCCTGATTTCGTTAGGGTTTATACAATAAGTACTATACAAATACAAAGGTCATATATTTTTCTATACACAAACTCTTTAAGTAGCAACAATGTTTCCACTTTTCCTACTCTCTCCCAAAAATTTGTTTCCTATACCAATCAAACCAAAAATTACCATTTTGATCCTTAGCCACATTGGTTCATAGTTCATACCATCTCTAGAATCTTGATGTTTCCAGTGGAGTTTGCAGCGACTAAGGTCGAGGATTGTCCGCGCCAACAGACCGAGGATATGAACTGCGATGCATCCTCTACTTCGATACCCGATACAGGGTCTATAGTTTTGAACATGTATGACAAAACCGGCATTGGAAACGCCTTGTGGTACACAAAAACCTGTCCAGTGAAGCACAATTTAAGACCAAATGTCCTTCCTTTTGCGATAAATCGGATTATGGTCAAGAAATCGGATCCAAGGTCCTTACTTTTTTGTAAAAATGTAGAGTAAACATACCTCATTGGTCTCTGAGCCTGTTGCTATATACCCATCAGAGACCGATAATCCGACAAAGTTCTACACACATTGCAAGAACAGAAATGTGTTAATAATCTTAGAAACCGGACTTGAAATGAAGCCACATTCGAAGAGATTTGGTACCTTTGCATTAGTATGTCCCATGAATGAGTGAAGAGGCGTTTCATTAACACCGGAATTAGACATCGATAAGTCCCATAGCTTCAATGAGTTATCCGTTGAAGAAGACACAAGTGTTGATGAATCTACAAACCTGACATTACTCACGGTCTTGTTGTGACCAATCATTGTGCAAAGAGGAAGCTTTGGTTTCCTTAAATCATAATAGTAAACTTTGTGATCTGCTGAACCAAATGCTAAAGACCGACCCGAGTCTGACGGAAACTGAACACAACATACATTAGCCTTTGTCTTGATGGTTCCAATACTAACCCCCTGAAAGACCGCAAAACGAACACAACGGTCAATATAACATCCCTAGAGAACTAAAAATCTCGCATTATCGAGAAATCGGTTTTAAGTACGTTTTGGTTTAGTTTAGTTTAGAATTTTTGCCTGATTGATACTCCATAGCTTAACAGAACCATCATCACTACCACTTGCTAACAATGTTGGATCCGCTGATGAAATATCGATGGACCAAACACGCTTCTCGTGCTCCTTCATCTCTGTAACCAACTGGCTTCTTGCAATATCCCACACCTAACAAAATTATAAACAAGTTAAAAGGTTTTGTTCTGTTTCTTGTTTTGATTAATAAAGTTGAAAGTTTTCTCCTTCTAAGCAGAACTAACCTGAACCACGCCTTCAAAGTTACTTGAAGCGATTTGGCTCTTAATGTAGCTGTTCCAACATATACCACTTAGCTTAGACCGGCTAACTAGTTCCACCACCGGGTAATGAATGTCCCGGCCATCGTTTATTATTGACTCACATTCAAATATCTTGATCTTTTTGTTGACACCAGCCGTGGCGAAAAGCTCCCCATCGCGGTCAAATCCAATCGCGCAAACGAGGTTAGACGAGTTCAACAAATCTCCTTGCTTCAAATCAGCTTTCACTCTTAGCTTACTAAAAGATAAATACTTGCATAGACCCTCGAGGAATGGATCGATCCACGCGCCTTGTCTAGAATCATTAAGTGGTTGTGTCAAGTTGCTTAATGAACTTTTCTCTGAACTTCTACCATCACTACTCAACGCCGAATAATATCGAGCCAACGGTTTTTCGGCTGTAGCTAGAGCCTTGATTTGTCTGTATCTCGTTGCAAAGTAGACTGATTCCAGTTTCTTGAAATTCCTCATTAACCGAGAGCTTCCGAGAAGAATACTTTCTTGATCAGTCTCTAAGTATTCATCATCAAGCTTAGATTCCTCTGCATCAATGGTATCATCCTCATATTCCTCTGTTGCTACTGTCTCAACGCCTTGTCTAATACGTTTTCTCGAGACCTCGTTCCTCTTTTGCTTCAAACTCAGCTGTCGTTTTACGACTTGATCAATGTCGGAAGAAAGAAGCGAAACCGTATCCCTCAATTTGTCTGCAGCTTCTTGCTTTCTCTGTTGAATCAATAACAAGAACTCAAGCAATAACTCCTCTTCCTCGATTCTATCTCTTAACTCTATCGCAGCTTCACGATCTTCCAAACTCTCTCTAGGTTCATTGATAAACTCACTTTGTACCAATTCACTACAACAATAAACACAAAGGACACAAAACTTTACTCAAAATGAAACTAAAACATTAAAAGAGAGAAAGAATCAATCAATCACCTCATCGATGGTCGAAAGCTAGGCTCGGGATGCAATAGCCACAAGCAAAAGGAAGCTTCTTTAGGCCAATTGAGCAATATTTGAGGCGAAAGAACACGATGTCTTAAGCTAGACATAGTTCTTGACTTCTCTTCTCTTGAAGAGACAGGACAAAACAGCTGCACAAAGACTAACATTTCATCAAATCAGTTTCTTCTTCAAGAAACACACACACAAAAACAAACATATCAACCTCAAAGAGAAGGACACCGAGGCGATAAACATCAGAAGCACAAGTACTAGAAGAAGAACCAATATCTTCTTCAGGACTTGTATACCAACTCATCTCCATTTCTAAAATCTGTTTCATAGGAAAAGGTTGTTTCTTTACTTCCACTAATCGACTCGAACTACTACCGATCATCTCTCGAGCATTTTCCTCATCAGAACCGGAATCCGAACAAGAAGCGGATTCGATAAACGAAACATGGTTAAAAGAAGACATAACGAAACAAGAAGGTCTAACATTATGAACAACAATGCCTTGAGAACGAGCTACATTAACAATCTCAACGATTTGTCGAAAAACATGAAAACATTCAAAAGCATCAACTGATCTCTCTGGATTATCTAACCATTGACGCAAACTAACATCTTCACATTCCAAACCTCTTACAATAGGATCATCTACTTTAACTAAGCAATGTGAACGATCTGAAACATTAGAGATGTTTAAACCTGAAGAACCACCCTCCATATTTTTTTTCAAGAACCCATCACAAAAAAAAAAAGGTTTGGATTTTTAAAAGACCATTGAACAGAAAAAACCAAAATCAGATATAAAAATGTAACCTTTTGATAAACATAAAGAGACAAACAAACTCAACGAGGAAGATTCTTGACCACTAAAAAACTCAATAAAAGTAATGGCGAAAAGT